CCAGTCTTCATAACTTTCCACTTGGTGGGGTTAAAATCCAGGAGCCATTTGTCAGACCAGGCCTGGAGCCTGTCCAGATCCATTTGTAGTCTTGGTCCTCGTCCGCTTGTATTCTCTTCATTAGTTTCACGTTGTCTGTGAACAGGGACTCCTCTGACTATTCCTTCCGCCATGTCACTGACGTATATAAGAAGCAGCACTGGGCCTAAGACTGATCCTGTGGAACTCCGCTCGTCACATGCACCCATTCCGACACCTTTTCACGGACCATCATTTTGTTTCCTTCCTAACAGGTATGCCTTGATCCATTGTAGTGCTTTTCCTGTTATTCCTGCCTGTTCTTCTAGTCTCGTGTGCGATACTGTGTCAAAAACCTTCTTACAGTCCAAAAAGATGCAGTCTCCTTCCCCCTCTCTCTCCTGTTTTACTCCTCTTGCCTTGTTTAGAACTCCAGTAGGTTTGTGACACAGGAATTTTCATCCCTGAAGCCTTGCTGGTTGTCATGTATGAGACCGCTCCTTTCGAGGTGCTCCACCACTCTTCTCCTGAAGATCTTCTCCACGACTTAACATAACTGTAGACATGCCAGTGACACTGGTTTGTAGTTAAGTGCTGCCTGCCCGTCTTCTTTCTTAAAAACTGGGACTACAGTTGCTGTCTTCCACGCCTCCAGCAATTGCCCTATGCCAATAGGCTTGCTGAAGAGTGTCGCTAGTGGCACACACAGTGCCTCTGTTCCATCTCTCAGGACCATGGAGTGATATTGTCTGGGCTCACCGCCTTCGAGGTACCTAGCTCACACATCAGCTTCTTCACCTCCTTCCTGCATGTGTGTGTTGTATACAATGCTTGCTGGTGTGCTGGTAGCCTTCTTGTCTTCTGTAGGAATACCTCCCTAAGTCTCTTCAGAAACTTCCTGGTCATTCCTTGTTAGCTCCCAGCCTTCCTTCTTCAGCCTAATTACCTGGCCCTTGACTGCTCTCTTCCTCTTTATGCAGCTATATAACAATTTTTGTGTACTCACCCAGTTGTGGTTGCAGGGGTCGAGTCACATCTCCTGGCCCTCCTCTTCATGCTCACTATTAGGTCACTCTTCCTGCTCCACGAGCTTTATTCATACCTCTTCTTAAAGCTATGTATGGATCCTGCTCCACTACTTCACTTCCCAGGACTATTCTACTTACTGACAACTCTGTGTCTGAAGAAATACTTTCTAACATCCCTGTGATTCATCTGAGTCTTCGTCTTCCAACTGTGACCCCTTGTTGCTGTGTCCCATCTCTGGAACATCCCGTCTCTATCCACCTTGTCGATCTCTCTCAGTATTTTATGTCGTTATCATATCCCCCCTATCTCCTCTATCCTCCAGTGTCGTCAGGTCGACTTCCTTTAACCTCTCCTCATAGAACATGCCCCTTAGCTCCGGGACTAGTCTTGCTGCAAACCTTAGCACTTTCTCTAATTTCCTTACGTGCTTGGCTAGGTGTGGGTTCCAAACTGGTGCTGCATACTCCAATATAGGCCTAACGTACACGATGTACAGGATCCTGAACGATTCCTTACTGATATGTCGGAAGGCTATTCTTAGGTTTGCTAGGCGCCCGTATGCTGCAGCAGTTATTTGGTTGATGTGCTTCTTAAATGTACCCGGTGTTATACTCGCCCCAAGATCCTTCTTGAGTGAGTTTTGTAGTCTCTGGCCCCCTAGACTGTACTCCCCCTGCGGTCTTCTTTGCCCTTCCCCAATCTTCATGATTTTGCACTTGGTGGGGTTGAACTCCAGGAGCCAGTTTCTTGACCAGGCCTGCAGCCTGTCCAGATTCCTGATCCTCGCCTGATTGAATTCTTTCCATCAACTTCTCATCATCTGCAAACAGGGACACATCCGAGTCTATTCCTTCCGTCATGTCGTTCACATATATCAGAAACAGCACCAGTCCTAGGACTGACCCCTGTGGAACCCCACTCATCACAGGCACCCACTCTGACACCTCGTCACATACCATGACTCGCTGTTGTCTTCCCGACAGGTATTCCCTTATCTATTGCAGTGCCTTTCCTGTTATCCCTGTCTGATCCTCCAGCTTTTTCACTAATCTCTTGTGTGGAACTGTATCAAACGCCTTCTTACCGTCCAAGAAAATGCAATCTACCCACAACTCTCTCTCTTGTCATACTGCTGTCACCCTGTCATAGAACTCCAGTAGGTTTGTGACACAGGATTTCCCATCCCTAAAAACTGGTGGTTGTTTTAAAGGTATCCCTTTCTAGGTGCTCCACCATTTTCTCCTGATAATTTTATCTATGGCTTTGCATCTATAAATGTCCGGACCCCTGGTCTGTAGTTTAATGCTTCGTGTTTGTGCCCTTTTTTAAAAAAATTGAGACTACATTTGCTGTCTTCCATCCCTTGGTGTCCCCTTTTTTCAATGGGGTTTTGCAGATTGTTGTTGTGGCACACTTAGCCCCTCTGTCCTCTTGGACCCAAAAAGAGATGAAAACCGGCCCCATCGCCTTTGAGGTATCTAGCTCGTTTTGGAGGCCTCGTGTGTGTGTGTGTGTGTGGTGTGGTGTGTGTGTTGTGTTGGTGTGTGTGGGTTGTTGTGTGGTGGTGTGTGTGTGTGTGTATGTATTTGGGTGTACCACCTATTTGTATCCCCTTTTGGGTTGCAGGGGTGAGCTTAGCTCCGGGCCCCCGCCCTTCCCGGGTTGCTATGGGCCCTCTCTCTCCCCCGCTCCATGACTTTATCAAACCTCTCTTAAAATGTGTATGGTTCCTCCTCCATACGTCTTTTCTAGGCTATTCCATGCCTTACAACTCTATGACTGAAGAAATATTCCTAATATCTCTCTGACCTTTGTGTCTTCAATTCCCAAATTGTGGCCCTTTTTTCTGTGTCCCCCCCGGAAACCACCCTGTTTTTGTCCCCCTTGTCTATTCCACGGAAAATTTAATGTCGTTTCATTTCCCCTGACCCCCTGTCCCCAGTGTCGTCAGGCCGATTTTCCCCTTTAAACTTTTTTCATAGGACATTCCCCCTTGCTGGAACTAACCTTGTGGCAAACCTTTGACTTTTTTCTGTTTCTTGACGTCTTTATCAGTGCGGGTTCCAAAAAAGGGGGCTGCATACTCCAGTATGGGCCTGACATACACGGTGTACAGTGTCTTGAACGATTCCCACTAAGGACGGAATGTGTTTAGGTTTGCCCGGCCCCATATGCTGCAGCAGTTATTGGTTTATGTTGCTTCCCGGGACATCTCGGTGTTATACTCACCCCCCAAAATCTTTCTCCTTGAGTGAGGTTTGCGTCTTTGGCCACCTAGCCATACTCTCTGTGGGCTTCTGTGCCTTCCCCTATCTTCATGATTTCATTTGGGGGGATTAAATTCGAGAAACCATTTGCTGACCAGGGGTCCCTTGTCAGGTCTTTTGAACCTGCCCGGTCCCATCAGATTTAATTCTCCCCCATTAAAATTTACACCATGTGTGGTGTGTGTGTGTGTGTGGTGTGTGTGTGTTGTGTGGTGTGTGTGTGTGTTGTATGTGTGTGTGGTATGTGTGTGTGTTTGTGGTGTGTGTGTGGTGTGTGTGGGGTTTACTCACCCAATTGTACTCACCTAATTGTGGTTGCAGGGGGGCGAGGGGCTCAGCTCCCCGGCCCCCCCTTTCACTATCGCTACGGATCCTCTCTCTCTGTTCCTGACTTTTTATACCTCTTCTTAAAACTATGTATGTGTGTGTGTGTTGTGGTTTGTGGGGGGATAAAAATTTAGTTTCTTCAAGACACCGATACCCCTTTATCTTTTTAATGAAGTTTTTGGGATCCACAGGCTGCGGCTCCCCCACCCCCGCAACACAACACTATTATTTTATTTAATTTTTATTGTTATTGTTTTATTATTTTTATTATTATTTAATATTATTATTTTTATTTTATTTTTTTATTTATTATTATTATTGTTGTAACTGCTGTTTTATAATAATACAATATTCATTAGAAAACGCTAGATCCGTAGGAGTTACAGCGCCTGGGAAACGGGAAACATTCAAGTTCGATCCAGGGAGAAAGAAAGGAAGGTAGCTCGGGTTCCCTGAATCAAGAGCCCTCCCTCTTTGTCAGCAGCAGGTACCGGACACCTCTCCAATGACTCTTCACCATTAACATTGCTAATGAAACACAATTCCACAATACCGAGGCTGGAACATCACATAAATGAACCACACTCTCGATATTTCGGTCCGTTTTGTACCATCATCATTACATTACTCCTGCAGAAGTGGTAAGGTAGTGTGTTGTGGCTGGTGTTAATGCATTAACTCGAAAAATATGTGTGATCATTATTTTACAACAACAAAAAATCTGGCATTGTCTTCCTGTCTTATTTGTGTTATTGAAAATTTAATGTACAGACTCCTTTACATAAGACAGGTCTTTGAGACTACTTAAGACAGTGTTAATGACTACATGAGACAGTATTATAGACTACATGAGACAGTGTTACAGACTAATTTTTTTCGTAAAAGACGTTGAAAAAAGTATAATGAAAATTGAATCGCACGTTCTTTAAGGCCTTTCCATGTGCTATTTATTTTTAAATGCTCTATTTCAAACGCATTTACAAAAAAATTGGACCATTGTTGTGGAGCTTCATGTGAAAGCTGACTGTACGATGCTATTAAGACTGCTGCCTGAGGTGCTGCTGCTGCCTGAGGTGCTGCTGCTGCTGCCTGAGGTGCTGCTGCTGCTGCCTGAGGTGCTGCTGCTGCTGCTGCCTGAGGTGCTGCTGCTGCCTGAGGTGCTGCTGCTGCTGCCTGAGGTGCTGCTGCTGCTGCCTGAGGTGCTGCTGCTGCTGCCTGAGGTGCTGCTGCTGCTGCTGCCTGAGGTGCTGCTGCTGCCTGAGGTGCTGCTGCTGCTGCCTGAGGTGCTGCTGCTGCTGCCTGAGGTGCTGCTGCTGCTGCCTGAGGTGCTGCTGCTGCTGCCTGAGGTGCTGCTGCTGCCTGAGGTGCTGCTGTTGCCGCTGCATGAGGTGCTGCTCACCAGGCCAGTAAAGTTCTTGATGTTGTTCCTGCCCAGGCTAAGGATCTTGAGGCAGCGGAGGTTGTTAAGGTGACTCAGCTTCTCAATCATGTTGGTTGACAAGCTCAGCTTCCTGTGGGTCACAGCAACAAGTAAGCTTCCCTGAGGGCGGGGGTGTAGGGGAGGGGTGAATAATGCCGACACAAGACACAATGTACAGACCTAACCTTGATTTCCACAACGTTCGCTCTGAGTAAAGCTTCATTTTGATAAGGCTCTACGTAGAGCGAAACGTTATGCTAATACAGGCTTATTCTGTTATGTTTACAGATATTTTTAAAAATGTTATTGCATCTTCAACCTGTCGGTTCTCTGAACCATTCATCTACAAATCTTCAACCTTGCAAAGATACATAGTGTGACTTATTTACGTAAGGGTTCCTCGTTCCTAGAATGTAGTCTACGATACACGACTAACACCTAGCTACTCACTGTACTACTAGACAAACAAGGACAGCATCTCTAAAGTTAGGTAAGATTCGTCAGGAAACAGGACAAGTGTTTCCTGACGCGGGTATTAGTCATATGATGACCTGCCACTGATAAGATTTGTTCGGATTTTTATCCCGGAGAGTTAGCCACCCAAGATAACCCAAGAAAGTCAGTGCGTCATCGAGGACTGGGTCTTTAATCTTTTGCCTCAGGATGCGACCCACACCAGTCGACTAACACCCAGGTATCCACTGACTGCTAGGTGAACAGGGACACCAGGTGTAAGAAAGCATGCCCAACATTTCCACCCATGTGGGAAATCGAACCACTGACACTGTGTGTGGCCAGAGCATGCCAACCAAGCCACGACTAGCCCTGCCCTGCAACCTAACCCGAGTACCTTCGCTTTTAAACCGAATGTTTCACCACTGACCTGCAGTTCACCCAGCTTTCAAATTTGTACAAGGGTTACATAGGCCTGCACTACGCTGTTAGCCCACGGAGGATCGAACCTTCACCTGTTGCATTGAATGACTCACACAACGTTTACTGCTACCACTCCAGACCCTAATCTTACATTAACTGAAACAAACCATGGAACGGGTGGGTTTTTGAACCCATGACGATTTGAGTCTTGCAACTCGGCCAGCTGGCTACAATAAAAGTCATCCAAATTAATTGTTTTGTAGTTAATAAATCTTGGAAATTATTAGTAATAAACATGGTTTGGCTATAATACACAATTCCTTGTTAAATACCATTGATGAAATAAATGTCTTTTTGGGAAATACGAATCTATAAGGAAAATATTTCCAGTGTGTTTGCAAATGGAAGGGCTTTGTAAGTTAATAAGACACAATATGCGATTTGTGACGTTTTAGTGAGAAGACGTTTCGCCCACCAGGGACTTTATCACTTGATACTAATATACTTCTCTGTATATTATACCAATAATATATGGAGGCTTTTGCGATATACAGGTGCAAGGAGAGGGCAGTGCTGTGAATGTTGAGTGAGTGAATAAATTAGAGTGCAGGTGCTTGTACTCACTCGCAGTTGACCAGAGCCTGGAGTGAAGAGTCCAGCTTCTCTATGGGAGGGTAGAGGCCAATAAGCTTGACTTCTACGGCATCTGAGGCTTTCTCCCCCGTGTTCTCCTCCCACTGACGCATCGCTTCCCGGAGCGACGTTCCCTTCTGTGAGTCACCAGCCTTACCCTGAGACTGTACGCACCGTGGTAGACGGCAGGGAGACGGGGAGACACGTCGAGGGAGGAAAAGAGAGGACGTGATAATTATGTTTTAGCAGGGAAGAGGAAGATAGATATGATAATTATGCGATGGTAGAGAAGACGAAGAGAGATGTGATAATCACACGTTGGTTGACAGGGAGAACAGATGGAGACATGATAACAACGCGAAAACAGACAAGAGGATAACAGAAGACATGTTAAAAAAAAAAAATTCTGTGATGTATGTTTGTGCTGGGATTTTATGCTGGCATTATTATCTGTGTCTTTGATGCGATAGCAGCTGTGTTTGTGTTCGGTCTAACATGGCGTCCAGGTGCTGGTACCATCCCTTCATTATTCTCTCAGTTTCACTAAAGTAGCGCTTGAGTCAGCCCGGCTGTAATTACCCTGGTCACTTTGATATTCATGTGGCTTGACTCACCTGGGTTGTTTCATGTGGTAAGTGGGAAAGTCTGTGTCGTCATACCAGTCTTATATAGTCATAACCCAGTCTGGTCACCACCACCACAGTTGTATCTAGTGACCACCACCACCATCACAGTTGTATGTATCTAGTGACCACCATCACCACAGTTCTAACATGACTCAGTGCTATGCCACCCACTTGTTTATCTAGCACTTCCCAATAAGCGTAGTAATATGTTTTCCTTACAGAAGGGTCTGTGAATCGTTTATAATTTACAAATCAATATTTACACAGCTCAAAGTAAACTCTAATCTTTCGTTTTAATAAATTCAACCAATGGTGGAAGTTTGAAGTCGACCAGAAAAGGCATTATCCAGTAATTGATCTGAAGCCAACGATTCCAAGTGTTGTAGCAATCTCATTAAAATTTCAGATTTGCATCTACTGAGGCTGAAGTTATGACGCATTATCATCCTTCTTGCAAAATGTATCATCATTAATATTTTCAAGCTGATCAGAAGTAGCATTTTTAAGTTATTAAATATAAATTAATAAAAGTATTCAATTCAATTGACAAATTGGGATTTATGCCACCCAACAGCAGTATGAACCTTGTGTTCAGGAAGCCACATCCTTGGTGAAAAGTTGAAATCGATCAGATGAGTCATTCTTCAGTTATTTGAACGAATTCCAACGATTCCAAGATTTTTTTTTTTTCAATTATTTTACTACATCGACAAATATTCCTGCACGCAAACAGAAGCTAGTGAATATTATTCAGGTCCTAAAATGCATCAGCCATTAAATACTGAAGGCGTTCGAAAGAAGTAAACTGAAATTTATTTAACGTGAGTAGTAGCAATACAAATTCCACACTATTTTACACATAAAATGGTCAAAATTGCACCTACACACTTCAATTTCGCTCACCGCCGACGTTGTAATTAGGATGGCGGGAATGGGTCCAGCAGCTCTGGTCATAGGTCACGTGAATATGTCAGTTGATCCAAGAATCTGGTCCTCATCATCGTACACAAGCGTTGAAAATTTGAAATTAAATGGATGAGGCGTTCCCGAGTTATGAGTAACACAAAAATGAAAGACTAAAAAAAATCAGGCAACCTCTTGAAGGTTCCTCTTCAAGGATGTATAATAATCACAAAAATATTTATCAGATATCCCCTAAGGGATATCTTTCAATGGTTGACAGATTTTTCTCCTTCCTACAAGGTTTCCGTTTCTACCTTGAGAACGCATCATCCGATCGGCTTCAAATTTTCTACGCTGCTTTACTTTAATTAGGGAAAACTTTATGCCACTATTGGCATGCACATGTGCCCTCTGATCAATTTTATATAGACCATTAAAGTGTTTTCAGAATCCTTGCGATAACTTGAGAAAACCTCTTCTGGTCGGCTTCAAACTTTCCACAATAAGGTGTCCCACTTAAAAGAAAATTACGATTATAATTGTAGTGTGTAGCTGCCAATTTTAGATTTTTGCAATAGGCTATTAATCTTTTCCGCCAAATAAATATGACATTGAACGGTTTCAATCGTAATGGCTAATGCGTCGTACAGAGAGGATATTTCCTTAAAAGTTTAGGCGGCGTAGAAGAAAATTGGCCAATTTACTATCATACATCACAGCATTCTGCTCAAATTTCACCATTTTCTAGTAAATGGGTTAATGACCCTCGTGTACTCAATACAGTGAGAGGTATGTTTCTCCCTGGGTATATACACATACTGAGAGCTTACTTTAAAACGTAGTTTATATATTAAAGTACTTATTTCTGGTGGTGAAAAGGCTATGTGGAAGTGCAATGGCCCTAGTGTAGTTGATAGGCTTTAAACCAACAACTCTATAGAATCAATAGGTTTCAACCAAAGTAGAGCAATCAATAAAACTTCCTCCACTGTATCTGAGGGTCCTTCAAGCAGCTAACCAGCTTGAAAAAAAAAGGCTTTCCTGAGAGCATCTATTGAAAAGCATGAACAAGTAAACTCAGTACCAGCCGTGTTAATTGTTCGTTGTTCAGCGTCCCTAGTGAGGCGCTGACGTCACGTAGTGTAGGTGAGAGTTACAAGTGTTGGTGGTTATAATGTATGTGTTGGTGGTTATAATGTATGTGTTGGTGGTTATAATGTATGTCTTGTAAGTTATAATGTATGTGTTGGTGGTTATAATGTATGTGTTGGTGGCTATAATGTAGTGTTGGGGGTTATAATGTATGTGTTAGTGGTTATAATGTATGTGTTGTAAGTTTTAAGTATGTGTTGGTGGTTATAATGTATGTGTTGTTGGTTATAATGTATGTGTTGGGGTTAAAAATGTATGCGTTGTAAGTTATAATGTATGTGTTGGTGGTTATAATGTATGTGTTAGTGGTTATAATGTATGTGTTGTAAGTTATAATGTATGTGTTGGTGGTTATAATGTATGTGTTGGTGGTTATAATGTATGCGTTGTAAGTTATAATGTATGTGTTGGTGGTTATAATGCATGTGTTGGTGGTTATAATGTATGTGTTGGTGGTTATAATTTGTGTTGGTTATAACGTATGTGTTGGTGGTTATAACGTATGGGTTGGTGGTTATAATGTATGTGTTGGTGGTTATAATGTATGTGTTGGTGGTTATAACGTATGTGTTGGGGGTTATAATGTATGTGTTTTGGGGGTTATTAATGTAAGTGTTGGCGGTTATAAATGTATGTGGGTTTGGGGGTTATAATGTATGTGTTGTAATTATAATGTATGTATTGGGGGTTATAATGTATGTGTTAGTGGTTATAATGTAGTGTTGGTGGCTATAATGTATGTGTTGGTGGTTATAATGTATGTGTTAATGGTTATAATGTATGTGTTGTAAGTTATAATGTATGTGTTTGGGGGTTTAATGTATGTTTTTGGTGGTTATAATGTATGCGTTGTAAGTTATAATGTATGTGTTGGTGGTTATAATGTATGTGTTGGTGGTTATAATGTATGCGTTGTAAGTTATAATGTATGTGTTGGTGGTTATAATGTATGTGTTGGTGGTTATAATGTATGCGTTGTAAGTTTTTAATGTATGTGTTGGTGGTTATAATGTATGTGTTGGTGGTTATAATGTATGTGTTGGTGGTTATAATGTATGTGTTAGTGGTTATAATGTATGTGTTGTAAGTTATAATGTATGTGTTGGTGGTTATAATGTATGTGTAGTGGTTATAATGTATGCGTTGTAAGTTATAATGTATGTGTTGGTGGTTATAATGTATGTGTTGGTGGTTATAATGTATGTGTTGGTGGTTATAATGTATGTGTTAGTGGTTATAATGTATGTGTTGTAAGTTATAATGTATGTGTTGGTGGTTATAATGTATGTGTTGGTGGTTATAATGTATGCGTTGTAGTTTTTAAGTATGTGTTGGGGATTATAATGTATGTGTTGGGGTTATAATGTATTGTTGGTGGTTATAATGTATGTGTTGGTGGTTATAATGTATGTGTTGGTGGTTATAATATATGTGTTGTAAATTATAATGTGTGTGTTGGTGGTTATAATGTATGTGTTAGTGGTTACAATGTATGTGTTGGTTATAATATATGTGTTGTAAGTTATAATGTATGTGTTGGTGCTTATAATGTATGTGTTGGTGGTTATAACGTATGTGTTGGTGGTTATAATGTATGTGTTGGTTATAATATAGTGTTGTAATTATAATGTATGTGTTGGTGCTTTATAATGTATGTGTTGGTGGTTTTTAAAGTAATGTGTTGGTGGTTATAATGTATGTGTTGGTGGTTATAATGTATGTGTTGGTGGTTATAATGTATGTGTTGGTGGTTATAATGTATGTGTTGACGGTTATAATGTATGTGTTTTGGGGGTTATAATGTATGTGTTTGGTTATAATGTAGTGTTTGTAATTTATAATGTACGTGTTTTGGGGGTTATAAGTATGTGTTGTAAGTTATAATTTTATGTGTGGTGGTTATAATGTATGTGTTGCAAGTTATAAATGTATGTGTTGGTGGTTATAAATGTATGTGTTGGGGTTTATAAACGTATGTGTTTGGTTATAATGTATGTGTTGGTGGTTATAATGTATGTGTTGGTGGTTATGATGTATGTGTTAGTGGTTATAATGTATGTGTTGTAAGTTATAATGTATGTGTTGGTGGTTATAATGTATGTGTTGTAAGTTATAACGTATATGCTGGTGGTTATAATGTATGTATTAGTAGTTAAACAGGATGTGTTATGGGAATTGAGAAATAACTTCAAATTTATTGTCAGTTCTACTGAATATCAATCTTCTGCATGGTGGGAACACCAGCAGTGTGTAACTACGCTAATCTACATGAGAGTTACAATGGTACTAACATCGTAATGACATATATTGCTGAGATACCAGTATTAATAAACCATGAAAAATTCATACTAATTGCACAGTAATCAGCGTTTTATTATTAACAATAGTACAAAAGTCAATAGTCCAATACAAAGAGGCAATGGTGTATGATCATTAAGTTAATAGGCACAATAATACATGCTCCCAGGACGTGTTT